GTCGATGTCACACCCGAGCATTAACACGATAAAAAGCCGAGTTACCCACTTACGAGATAATTATCTCGGCAAAATTATCTCGGCAAATGTGATAATATGTCGACATAATTTAACAGTTATGTCGACATCTTCTCAGATTATGTCGACATATTCTCAGATTATGTCGACATCTTTCAATAATTATGTCGACATACGTAACTCGTAAGTCGCAAGTGGATGGCAGAAATATGCCACCATAGGTCCCCTGCTATATTGAAAACCGCTTAATTTGAAGTATTTTTCCATTCCCCGAGGATTTCAATTTAACCGGGTTCGACTGTATATACAGACATGACGTCATTATACTTATACAGCTGTAGCTGTATATAGATATGACTTAACATCTGAAAACTGTATACAGATACATGCATGTTGGTATTACTTATAGCTATATACAGGCATGTCGTCATTACTAATAGCTATAGACAGGCGTATCATCATTGCTTATAGCTATATACAGGCATGACGTCATTATACTTATACAGCTGTAGCTGTATATAGATATGACTTAACAACTGAAAACTGTATACAGATACATGCATGTTGTTATTACTAATAGCTGTAATCAGACATGTCATCATTGCTTATAGCTGGGTTGAGACATGCTATCTTATTTTTAGCTACATAATAATACAATAATAATTCGAGGTTCTTATATACCGCTTTTTCACAATCTAATTCGTAGGTCCTCTCAAAGATGTTGACAAATTATTATCCGTGGTTATAGGACCTTGCAACTAGCCAATATCTTTCTCAAGTCCCTAAAGAGCATACATGTACAGCTGGTGCTGCCATTTCGGCGCTCACAGCTAGCATTCAACAACTCCAGCACTGCCCAACCACGTACTCATTTACAACCGAGTAGACTGGAACAAGCGGAGTAAGGAATCTTGTTCAAAGATACAACATAGTGCCGTGCCGTGACTTGAACCCGCAAACCGTGACTCGAACCCGCAACCCTTCGGTCACGAGCCCGGCGTCCTACCACTAGGCTACCGTTATTTGTAGCTGTATATACAGACATGTAACCAATAATTTAAGCTATATACATACATGTCATTATTATTTAAACAGCTTTAGCTGTATACAGATATAACGTCATTACAAACAGCTGAATACAGACATGACGTGATTACCTTTTGCTGTATAGATACACTCGCCATGATTTATATCAATACATAGACATGTCTTTAATTATAGCTGTATCTGTATACAGAAATGACGTCATTACTTATAGCTCTATACAGCTATAACGTCATGATTTATGGTTATATACAGACATGTCGTCATTTAGTTTAGCTGTAAACATACATGTTGTCATGATTTATAGCTAAATAAACACGATTTGACATTACATATACGTTGTAACTGTAAACAGCCATAAATATAGTTTATATCGTTTTTAACTGACATGACGTCATTGCGTATAGCTATGAACAAACATGACGTCATGATTTAGAACAATATACTGACATAGAGACTAAGTTTGTTTTAACACAAGCAGGAATTGAATACTTTTTTGCGAGCTTTCTAAAACGTATGTTTCCATTGTCATGCAAAGAGTGTAAATGACCGGTGTCTCGACTCTAAATCGCAGAACCCACTAAGTCACATCGGACCGAGTCAGTAAAGTCAGCTGTCAAAAATCATAGACATTTCGCCCAATTACACTCTAGCACTGCAGGCAGTCAGGGGGAAGGGTAACATGTTTACACATTCCGTCCTTTAGTGGATGTTAAAATGGGGTCATAAAGATGACTCAGCTGATGGCCCCCTCGTCTCTGTTCATCGAATCCCCTTCTCTCCTAACCAAGAGGGATTCTTTGATTTTCTAGACTTTTCAGTTGTCCTCGCTTTCGAGTTGTTCCAGTCTATGATGTAGTTTAGTGTGTTAGCATGGTCTGTAATGGCCGATTTGTTGTATTGTCTCTCCGATGCCTTCCTTGTATTTCTAGTGTAGACTTGCTGTTTCATGACTTCAACGTCTTTCTGATGTTCTTTGAGGCGTGTCCAAAATTTCTGGCCAGTTTCCCATTTTAACATTTCCATTTCTGATTTTAATACAAACACTTTAATCCATATCGAATTAAACAAAATTAATAACAAACACATGTTATCGATTATACGAAGTCCATGGATAGAGCAAATTGGTAATTGGACGCCAAAGGCTGGCCGGTAATGCACTGGCGATTGTGATAAAGCGATTAAATGGGCAGACAACTCTTTCACTGTCAACTTTGATCTGATATGAATGGGATTATTATAGCAGTGATTCGGTTATTACATGCATTAATAAAGAAGGAATTTAAAAAAAAATGAGTTTAAAATTCATATTTTGTCATTTTTCACATCATGTGATAAACAGAATCTCACATGAGTTTGCATTTATGCAGAGCATCGCAAAATTAAAACATTCTTAACTCGTTTCATCAATTTCATATTAAATGGAAAACTCAAATGAAATCCTCTATATACAGACATGATCTCTATTCTTATAGCTGACTGCAGGAATGTCGTCATTATTGATATTTTATAGATGTATTTACATTTCCGCTGCAAAATCCACTAAGAGCAATACCAGAAGGAATTGCGTTTATAGAGCTTTGAACGCAGTTAGATCAAAGTTATTTTTGAAACCCAATAACAGGAGACAACCGTTAAAAATACAGAAATATCCTCAATTTTGACAGCAGGAAGGGGACATATCCCCTGACCTTGCTCATTTCGACGATATCGCTTCATTTTAATGCCACGTGTTTACAGTTTACGTGTCACATTCAGTTAATAATCAATATTAATCTAATTTTCTTTTATTAAGATAACGTCAAGTTTAGCTATCTACCAACTAAGATTTTATCATTAATATTTCTAATGTGCTTCCTTGATTTTGTTTCGTCATCCATTATTCATATTTACTATGACCAAAATCTTAATGAGCTATATTCTCACTGGAACAAATGTATCCTTTGTTGTCATCTTGCAGATCACAATGTGACGTCATGTAAGAGATCATCTAGATGACCTTGACCTTCAGGCAACACTGAATCCTTTGCTGCGCTGTGATTGTCACCATGGCGATAGTATCTTACAACCCAGCATTCAAGGGCAGATTCACCAAATTAGCGCATGTGGTTTTGATATGCGGCACATTTGCAAGGGTTTGTTGATTTAAATTCAATTTCCATGAATTCATTTTGTTTTGAAATATTTCACAATCACCTTGAGAATATAAACAATAAAAATGATGTTATATGTAGGGGTAGACAGAGGCTAAACTACAAAATAATCATGGTAAGACTTTTACTTTGTATAGTAATAATGTATGAATAATGTATGAAATTAGTAGAACTTTCTGTTGTTATGATTTCAAAAAAATCATGATCTGTATTTCATAATAACATAACAAGGAAAGAAAAGAAGAAAAAACAGCGTATGGATTCGATAGGATGTTAAGGCTATACAAGTCCTATACATTCTTGGTAAATTACACGTACACATGTGTAACATGGCGATTTTGTTGAAAATTGTGGTAAAATCATCCTTAGTCGCTTTACATTGACGTTTGTCTTGTCAGTTTACAAGACATGCATTCATCGTTCATTTTCATATAGCCCTTAAATAAACAGTATCTCATCAAAATGTACGCGTCCCCTGTTGTCCTCAGTTGCCATAGTTCCTACGGGTGAGAACGAGCAGCGTTAGCGTTCTCACTAAACAACCCGTTATAACGCGATAACTAGGTCTTAATTACGTGATAAAATAATAAATAGATAATAATAACGAGTTAATTTTGGTTCTATTTCTTCTAAATACACTTGATAGCTATCTTTATTGCTCAATTATGCGAATAGATAAATAATTGTGCTCTACCCCTTTGAGTGAAACATCAGGTTTTGATCAAATGTACAGTTACTTAAGAGCCCAATTCCCAAAAGTCCCCAACCGCTAATTTTCCGAACAACCGGCGTATTGGATGTCACAGGTTTTAAGCATATTGGATGTCACAGGTTTTAAGAAAATGTCTCTGCGGGAAAAGTGACGGGGTGAGTGTATTCTAGTCTGGGTATAATGTAAACTATTCACTACCTATACTTAATTACGGGGTCATTGCTTTTATACATAAACAGCATAGCGTTCGAAATGTTTTGTTCAAATACCCCTAATGCCATTCTGAATTGCAAGTCCTAAAAGCAATCATAAGCGTGATACCCCCCCCCCCCCCCCCCCCCCCCCCAA